AAAAAACTGAAAATAAGGGGGAAAAAAAATACAAACTCCAGGAAAAAGTAAGGCTGTGCAAGAATAAAAATGTAATCACAGTATAGTATGTGAGTCCACAGTGAATGGTACGGTCCTAATAATGTAAACAAGGAGTATCGCATTTCAAGTTTTAGATTCAGCCAACAGACAAAAGCAGGAAGACTTTGCTGCAGTCACAGGAATGCATGTGTTCAACCTTGCTGCCAAGCAGGTAAACAGCCTGGACATGACAGGGACGGAAGCGGGGGGAGGAGTTGGGCTGAGAGGGGTCAAGAGCCACTGTCTACAGCGGACAGAGCAAGAACTGAGGGGGAAGGGGTTTTATTTGGCCAAGGTAACCCAGAGCACACATGCAATAGTGACCTCAGTAGTCTGAGAGGAGGAAGAGAAGTCACATAAGTGACCTCAACTTTCATCTTGTAAAGCTAGAAGTCAACAGTAATGTCTAAAGATAAAGTCAAGAAACAGAACTACGGGGAAGTATATTATTTATAAATAAGGAGATAAATACCAGAAGAACCAGAAACAGCAGTGGAGACTGGAACTAGGAAGAGCTTTTCCCCATACACTTTACTTTCTATAACTATATGCATGTACTTTTGATTAAAATCTTTTTTTTTTCCTTTTTTTTTTGTCTTTTTTACTGACTGGTAACAGGATTGCAACCCTTGGTGTCGCGCCCATACCGGGGACCGGCAACGGAATCGCAACCCTCGGTGTTGCGCCCGCGTTGCGCTCAGCCAGTAAGCGGGAACCGGTCTCCACATGAGACCCGAACCCTCAGCGGGAGCGCTGCCGCACTCCCAAGCAGCGCACTCTCCAGTGCGCCACTGGGCAGGCCCTGATTAAAATCTTAAAATTGAAAGATAAGACAAACGGGAGAGGCCCATGCCCACATACTGAGAGAGCTCATACCACCCCACTCACACTTCCTTCCAACTAGACTTCTAATTGACCATCCTGGTACCAGGTGCATAAAAGAGCTCAGAAACCCCCATGTTTTTTAAAGCCCACTTTCCTCCATGATACTTCATGGGCACAGTCACCAAAAAGCAAGAGCTGCAGAAGTTAGACATACGAGGAATGAGAAGGAGACTGAAAAGGTCCTTCTGCTTTGACATGGATCAATGAGCACAAACCGCTTTGGTGAGAAAATAGGGGGAAATGAGATGACGTGAACAGCTGCCAAGGGCCCCGTTGCACTCCTGAACAGCCCCCAAGGACCCCTGCTCACATGTCCTTGTGCTCACACTCTCAGTGTCACTCTAGTACTGGCTGGAAAACACTCTTTTCTGGTGTTATAACACCGTGCTCCAACCTTTCCCTCCAGTTTCTGACAATGAGCTCTACGGTGCTTCCACCTTGCTGATGTGACTTTGCCCAGCCTCTTTCCAAGTCCTAAGTGTGGGACTAAACCTCTGTACTACGTGTAGTCCTGGGTCCACCTCAATCTTTACCCAAGACCCGAAGAGAAGGCCCTTTCTGATGTGGAAACCCCACAATTCTAACCAACCTGGCCTTCTTTTGAGACAAGGTCTCAAAACAACATTTAGAATTTAAAATGATGTCCGTGCTAGTCAATGGCTCAGGGGTCAACAGCGAGTGTGGTGGAAGTCAGGCGGAGGATCAGAATAGAAACCATATCCTATGTGCTGAGGAGTGATGCAGAGCAGGTAAGAAGGGGAAATGGAGGCAGGAGGGAACAAAAACTTAAAGGAGACAGGACAGTCTTGAAGTTGTGCTGTTCAATATGGTAGCCACGGCCACATGTTGCTATTTCAATTAAAGAAAATAAAATGTTAAATGCCATTCCTCCATCATACTAGCCACAGTTCAAGGGTTCAATAGCCACATGTGGCTAGTGGCTACCATAATATTCAGTGTAGAAATAAGAACACAGCATCACTGCAGAATGTGCTATTGGAGATGCAGGGTGTCTAGAAAGAAATGTGGAGATATTCTAGGGAAGGAAGCAGTTGAGTGTAAGAAATCTGGCCACAACAAAGGATGAGAAATAAAACACAGGGGCAGATGTGGGTGGGCCTGAATGACTGGAGAGGAAGAGAAGAGGGGCCTGATTCTCTGCTGCGGGCAGAGGCGACACTCGTGCTCACAGGGATGGCAAAAGCAGGGAGACAGGAGGCTGAAACCGAGCATTGCGTTCTGGAAATTGCTGTTGTGGAGAGTGGAAACATAGGCTGATGAAAGAAATTTGGTAAGATGACCAGGCAAATGAGAATCTTTGCTTTTGAGGGTAGTAATCAAGATTTGTGTGTGTGTGCTGGAACGTTCTCCAGCTGAGCTCTGAGGCTTGGGTGCAGGGGAGTAAAAGCTGGTCTTCATCGAAGGTGGGGTTTCACCAAATGGACATGCTGAGAAAACAGGAAGGTGTGGGAGACGCAGGGTTATATTAGCAGGGAACTGCTGGGGTGATGGCCATGGAAATTCAGCTGGGTAAGGAGAAGGGAAGGAGGTGTGAATTAGTAGATTTGGAAAGAAAAAAAGAAGGGCCACATCTACAGCCCTTTCCCCAGAGATCAGTGCCTTATTAGTTGAGCCACAAAAAAGTGCCATTATTGAAACATTTTTTACTTATAAAAACAGCAATTTTATATGGGCCTACCTAAGTGTACCTGGCACACTGGCTGAAAGCATGAGGCTGGGGTCGAGAGAACTCTGGACTAAAGTCCTGACTCTGATATCACTCACTGACTTACTTGGGCATCTGAGTTAACTTCTCTGGGCCTCAACATGCTCATCTGTATAATGGAAATAGATGTCTTCTCTCATACACACTGGAAATCAATGTGATAAGGTGTGTAAGTGCTTCACGTTCTTCAGTAAGCGGCAGTAAGGGTTCTTCTGACTTCCTTTGAAGCTCCATGAAGACAGGAGTTTATCTGCCTTATTCAGATGAACTCCCCCTTCCCCCCCTCCCACCCCCTCTACCACCAAGTCACCAGCATCTACCTGGGCTTCTCGCCTTCTCTCCAATTTGAACTTCCTTTCCACTACCTCTGACACTGGATGCTTTAGGTCAGCGCTCGGTGTACTATGGTCCACAGGCCAAGTCCAGCCTAGTGCCTCTTTGTGTAAGTCAAGTTTTACTGGAACACAGCCACACATGTGCTTACATATTGTCTATGTCTGCTTGCACACTACAACGCAAAGTTGAGCAGCTGTGACAGAGACTGTATAGCCAGCAAAGCTTAAAACATCTACTACCTGGTCCTTTACAAAAAAAAGTCTGCTGACCTCTGGTCTAGCTAATAACCTCCGTCAGTTCAGAAACGGAATATGCTGCTTCTCCCAACTGCCTGCCTGTATGCAATCCTCCTTATTCTAACAGATTCCTGTTAGATTAATAACACCACAGCATTATTAATCTCCCCAGACGCCACAACTTTGTGGTTCCCAAATATCAGCAGCACCTCTTTGTCAGAAACAGTGTTTCCCCCACTTGGACATTTCTCACATCACCTTCACAATATCGACACATCCACAATCCTCCTGCATACTACTTAGTTCATATTTTTATCTTTAACCTAAATAAATAAAAAAAGAAACCTTTTTTCTTTTAAAAGATGACGAGTAAGGGGGTCTTATCCCTAGACTTGGTGCTGTTAGCACCACGCTCTCCCAAGTGAGCCACGGGCCAGCCCAAAAAAGAAACTTTTATTTCTACCATCAAAAGTGGGGGAAAAGAGCTGGCCTTTTAGCTCATTGAGTTAGAGCACAGTGTTGGTAACACTGAGGTCAAGTGTTCCGATCCCCTTACTGGCCAACCTCCAAAAAAAAAAAAAGGCAGGGGAAAAAAAATGGTTAAAACTTGCTGTAAATAGAAAGCAACTCTACAAATTAACATAATGAAAACCAAATTGTAGTATTAAGTTCGGGTGTGGGGAGGTGGGTAGCATGCTGCTAAAATCTAAAGTCTCCTCTGTGTTTGCCAAAAAGAGAATTCGAATATATCAGATACGCTAAAGTTTGTTCTCAGCACTTTAATCTAAGGACTAAAGGGGAAGTGAAAAGGGAGCTTATTTCTCCATAGGTGGTTGAATCGTATTTAATGCCAAGTTCACAATCTCCCTAAAGTCAGCTCATGCTACTCCCTCTTATCCAAACCCCCACCCCCTTACAAATCCTGCCCACCCTTCTAGGCCTAACCCTTCGGGAAACCTTCACCCAGCCACTCTAACAATGGACATCACTAATTCATCTGTGCACCCAATATGCAGAATTAAAATTAAATTTTTGATTTTCAGCTGAAGACAATCATTGGGCAGAAAGATCCTGGAGCTGAGGTGCCAGGCAAGAACCCTGAGTTAAGCAAAATCGACCTCAACAAGAACGGCACCTTCTCTGAACCCTTCTGGAAGCACCCAAAACTGGTTTAGGAGGGTGCAGGAAAACTGGTTTAGGACTCCTTGGGCTAGGAAAGGAAAATGACTCAAACCCCACAGAAGAAAAAATCCAGATGTCTAGGAAAATTCCCCAAAACAGCCTACCAGGTTATTCCCCAACAGGAAAGGTTTTTATAGAAAGATGGTCCACCTGAACATTTTCTTCATTTCTCTAAAGGCTCAAGTGCCTCATCCACCACATGCAAGTATTGAGACCTCCACAAGAAAGGTTTATAGGTTTCATTTCCTGCAGTCATGTCCCTGAGAGCAGAAGGACTGCCTGACCCAAGTGTATACCTTCTACCCATCCCAGCTCAACAACAGAGTCCTCTGTCCACATGAAGTTCTTTGTGGATCCCCAATAAATACAACAAATACAGGTAAATGCAGATCAGTCTGGAGAGGTGCCTGAAAGCTGCTTGCCCAGCTACACCCTCACCCCTGCCAAATACCCACCCAAGGCACCCCCCAAGGATCCACCACAGTTTGACAATATCTGCCACAATGGGTATAAAGTTCTCCCTGAAAAAATGGCCTCCCATCTGCTCTTGTGAAACAGGAATGCAACATTCGCCCACCAGGTGGCAACATACCAGAGCCTTGGTTGGAGCCTAAGAGAATGGAGGAGGGTGTCTCTCTGGAGCCAGAAAGGTCAAGGGTCTAGAAATACAAAAAGAAAAAAATGACGCAGGGCACTGGGGCCTATGTGGCCCCCCAGGGAAGCCCAGAGACCCAGGGAGTGTTCAACACTGCCCCCAGGGCATCTCAGCACCCTCTGCCTGGCGTGGTCAGGTGGGTCAGGTGGCTGGGGGTGCAGGTCAGCTAGGGTGGCCGTACACACCTTGTGTTGTGTCTACCACACTGAACAGGCTGGAACACGGCACTGGGGTGGCCCCTTACTCTACCCTACATCTCAGCTTCTAGAACATTCTCTGCTTCCTATACTTCACTCACCTATCCATCCTCCAGATTTTTGTCATCTCCAAGAAGAAAGTATAGTACCTCAAAATTAAATCAATTCACTTTTATTTCATGTTAGCCTCTTACTAGATAATCAGTGAAACCAAAGCCATTTAACTGATAGTCTAACAACTTATTTTCCTAATATACATTGAAATAATTACACAATGCCTTAAAATGTAAAAGATTATCAATGGGCCCCTAAAATAGTCTTTGCATATGATCAATGTCATATACACCACACTCTGGAAAACCAAGCGGCGCAACATTCGAGGTCCAAAATGGCAGCCACTAGCCACATGTGGCTACTTAAATCTAAATTAATTAAAATTAAATAAAACTTAAAATTCAGGTCCTCAGTCACACTAGCCACAGTTCAAGTGCTTAAAAGTTACGTGGCTAGTGGCTACCATTTTGGACAGAGGAGATACAGAACATTTCCATCATCTCAGGAAGTACAACTGAACAACACTGTCCTAAACCTGAAGGTCCCCAGGGAGAGTGCTGAGGACCAGCTTCCAAGTCCCACACATGCCACCTTGAGTTCCATGTTCCCGCACATCACTGGAAATCCTGGTACACCAGTGAGAAAGAGCCCTAGTTAGACTGTCCAATCCCCCGTAGTCTGGCTGCCACAGATAAACCTCCTATGACATGGGACTTCAAGGTTGGCAGACATGGGGTGGGGTCCTAAGCCACTGCTTGGCACAAAAGGTTGGTGTTACCAGCCCAAGGTGTGGGATCCTCACCGAGCCACTCTCCTTGCTTTTCTCAGCTGGTGGCTCCTTCTCTTTCGAGGCGCTGGCTGTTTCCGAAGGGGCTGACTGTGTGCTAGCGGAGCTCCCCTGGGATGACTTGTTCAGTGTTTCCGCGTTCACCTCGGCATCCGCTTCCTGCTGAGGAGCGGTAGCTGGAGACGAAGGGGAGAGATAGAAGCCACACGTGAGCCAGGTGTGATGGTTTTGGGACACACAGAGCCGTGCTCTGCACCTGGCAGTGCCTGTGGCTCGGCCCCTCCAAGAGCAGAAGTGCAGGTACAAGTGGCCAGATCGCCACAGTTTTCCAGAAGCTGGAACTCCAAATTTTATGTGAAAATATACTAATTTTCAAGAGTTGCAATTCAGGTTTTATTAAATCATTCTGGAGATGAAAGCGTGTTCTCAGAACAAACAAAGCCCATCAAGAAGAGCCAGCCTATAACTGTCAATTTAGATTGACCGTATTTCATAATTTCTAGGTTTAGACCTACTGTAGCCCCCCTTGGACTCGCTTCCTTCTGAGGCAGGATGGAGAAATCTACGTGAAAGGCAACATGATGTCAGAGGCATAGAGCATCCATAGATGGCGGAAATTTGGACAAATAGAAAAAAACAGGGCATTTGAGAGGAATTTAAGAACAATGAACATGATTATGCCACAAAGAAAGCAAAGCTGAAGGATGTTTTTGCCATCTTGTGATAACAGCAAAAGGCTTAGCAGACACATTCTAGAACTTAGGGAAACACGAGGGAATTGAACTCTACTGCAATAAGAGATTTCAAGTCTCTAGAGACAGGACGTCTCCCTAAAGAAGGTTAAAGGACACATCAATGTACGCTTCAATGTGGCCTTTTAAAAAGCTAACAAAACAACAGAAGATCTGTCTAGTGCAGAAGTCTGTAAACTAGTGCTGCCTGTTTCTATAAATGAAGTTTTATTGGCACACAGCCATGTCCACCCATTTACATTATCATCTATGGCTGTTTTCATGCTCTAACAGCAGAGCTGACTAGTTGCAGAAGGGACCACATGGTCCACAAAGCCTAAAATAATCACTCTGGCCCTTCACAGAAAACGTTTGCCAACTCCTAGTCTAAAGCTTCTCAAACTTGTGTCATTTATACGTTACCTTCACAAATTTTGTCAATCCACAGACACACGTCCTTATACTATTTATGCAACATTTTAAATGAATTCTTTAAAATGAAAACTTTATTCTAAGCATATAAAGCTAACATCACTTGCCATAAATAAAAGCCAATTGTGAAAATTAACTGTTAAAATATTATTGTAAATCCTAACTAGATAGTGTTCCAGTTAAAGGCTCCACGTCTGAGGCCTGCTTGCTCTGTGTTAGAAAGGGAGATTATAAATACTACATCACTGTCAACAACAGATTAGTTCCACACCAATACTTTTTCCCTTAATATAAGAATTGGGAATCCATATTATTTAAAGCTGTGAGTCCATTATTGCCACACCCCCAACTCCCAAACAGCAGAGTTTCTGTACTTCAGTACTATAGACATTTTAGGCCATGCTTTGGGTCAAATGTGTCCCCCAAAAGTTAATGTACTGGAAACCTCCCCAACTCCCAAACAGCAGAGTTTCTGTACTTCAGTACTACAGACATTTTAGGCCATGCTTTGGGTCAAATGTGTCCCCCAAAAGTTAATGTACTGGAAACCTGATCTCCACTGTAACAATGTTAAGAGGGTGAGAAAATCCAATTATGGTATCTGAAAGAGCAGGGCCTTTAGGAGGTGATTAGATTGTGAGGACTGTGCCCTCACGAATGAGTTGATCCATTCATGGAGTAACAGGTGTGGTTCTGATGGCTTTATAAGGAGAGTGAATGAGAAGGTTAGCTCTCTCTTGTTCAGACCTATTCTTGCCATGTAATACCCTGCATCAACATACAGAACTCCCACCAAGAACACGGCCCTCACCAAATGTGTGCGCCCCATTGACTTCAGACTTCCCAGACTCCAAAACTGTAAGAAATAAGTTCTATTTCTTACAAATTACCCAGTCTCAGATGTTCTGTCATAAGCAACAGAAATGGACTAATATGGGCCAGATCATTCTGTTTTAGGGGGGACCTCCCTGTGCACTATAGAGTGTTTTGGAGCATCCCCAACCTAAGAAGAGATGTAAGGTTCTGCAAAGGAGATCAGAGGTCTGAAACACCTGTGTCTGAAGTCTTAGCTATTTGTCTGCATGTTGCTCTCTGTGCATAACAGACACAGCTGTTTGCGAGTGAGAGTGAAAGAAACAGGACAAGCCACGCTTGCCACGTCAGCCAGAGATGGGAGGCACCCCGAGAGGCATTACCCGACTGGGTGCAGGACTTCATGTGCTCGGGCCAGTGGGCCTGCTGGCAGGGGTAGTCGCAGTAGCTGGTATTCCAGCAGCAGTAGAAGATGGCCTCCTTCTTGCAGTTGGCGCACCACTGCTTCTTCTTGGTCTCATCCACCGCCTGCTGCTTCTCCAGCTCCAGCTGCTTCTTCACCTCTGCAATGAGCCGATCCCGCTCCTGCTCCAGGCTCTGCCGCATCTCCGCCATGGTCAGCTCTGGAGGAGGGGGGGGGGGCGGCTGTATCACCTGAGCCCGGCCCAGGGCACAGGGTTATTCAGACAGACATGGGGGTGAATCCTGGCTCAGAGAAGCCCTGACTGTGTGACCCTGAGCAGGTAGCCTAGCCTCCCCAGCCCACACCTTCATCTGTAGACAGAGCATGCATCACAGTGACCTGACGGGGCTGCTCGTGACACTGGTTTAATCTGAAAAGTCTAGGACCAGAAGTGTTTTCGATTTTGGATTTTTTCCAATTTCGAAATATTTGCAGAATACACACTGGTTGAATATCCCTGATCCAAAAATCTGAAATCCAAAATGGTCCTATGAGCATCTCCTTTGAACATCATATTGACATTCAAAATGTTTTGGCTTTTGGAACATTTCGGATTTCACATTTTCAGATCAGGAATGCTCAACCTCTAATGTACGTGAGGTACCCAGTAGGGAGATAACCAGAGTCCCACAGTGATTCTTACCCCCAAACCATACTGTGGGAATTCTTCAAATAAACCCTTGAAACAACTACCGCTAAAACTCATTTTCAATTTTATCATTAGTATAAGCCTTTTTTTTACCTATCAATCACTTATATTGTGCCTACTACATGCAGGTGCTGTTCTAACCACTTCATAAATATTAACTCATGTAATTTGTTTTTTTAAACTCATGTAATTTTTATAATAATAATCCTATGGGGTAAGTACTACTACTTTACCCCTTTCACAGATGAGGAAACTGAGGCACACAGTTTGTAAAAACAGAGCTGGGTCTAGAACTCAGATGTATTTCCTTGTAGGTGTGTCTTGTAGCACTGGATGAAACCAACCAGATAGGGCACTGTGGGTGATGACTACGTTAACAAGACAACTAGCAACTGCTCAGTCTACTGAGAGTTCTCTAATTTTACTCCAGACAGTAAGTCACTCTCACATGAAATGCAAACCATACTGTGGGAATTCTTCAAATAAACCCTTGAAACAACTACCACTAAAACTCATTTTCAATTTTATCATTAGTATAAGCCTTTTTTTTACCTATCAATCACTTATATTGTGCCTACTACATGCAGGTGCTGTTCTAACCACTTCATAAATATTAACTCAAATATTCTTTCTGAAATTAAAAAAAAAAAGACCAGAAAAGAAAATTAATGCCTTGCAAAGGAGACCAATAACACTTGTGGCCAGGCAGAACCTTTCAGTCAATCCAACTACCTTTAACTAGGAGCCTGCAAACGATGGCAAGTTCTGGTCAGCTCAAATTAATTTTTTCCAAATGCTTAGCCAACATTTAAAAAGGGAAAGATCTTATAAGAATAATTCCCTGACTTTATTAGAAAAACAGGAAGAAACACCACCACCCAAATAAGCTTCCCACATAGCAGCAAGGTATGGAACGGAGGGCTACTCTTCAGTTGGCTCTGTTAAGAATTTGAGTTTGCAAGGTGTGATTTAAACACAGACCACAGGTGCACAGGTGGGAACACCTGGGCATGCCTCCCTAACCAAAGCCAAAGAGTTCTGCTGATTTCTGGAATCCTGGTTGACACTACCTGCGGGTCTGAAACCAATCCTTCTACCTTTGGGGGAAAAGCCTTTAATAATACCTACACAAATTAGTAACCCAAAATGTTACTCAGTCTAATCCAGGGACTAACGAAGTATCTTTCTCCACAGTGTGGGACACACAGGAAGCATCCAAGTACTTGTTAAAATACCAAACATTCAATGACTAACAGGAAAGTCTGGAGCCAGAATGCCCAGACTTGAATCCTGGCTGTGTGACTTTGAACAGCTTAACATGTTTGTGCCTGAATTTCTTCACTTGAAAACCAGGCATATAACAGAACCCTCTACCGTAAGAGTTGTGTAAGAATTAAATTAGTTAACTCGTGAAAAAGCACTTAACAACAGTTCCTGGCACAAAGTCAGAGCTCAATACATATGAGTTGCTGCTACTGTTGCTACCACTATTTTATTGTTTGCTGGTGGGTTTTTTTTGACCGGTAAGGGGATCACAACCCTTGGCACGGTGTGGTCCGCACCACGCCCAGCCAGTGAGCGCACCGGCCATCCCTACATAGGATCCGAACCCGCGGCCTCAGCGCTACGAGCGCCACACTCTCCCGAGTGAGCCACGGGGCCGGCCCTGTTTGTTTGTGTTTTGAAGACAGAAAAGGAGGGTTCCCACCAACACATGCTTGCATACCTGGTTTCTCCAGGTTAGACTCTCCAGCATTCTGTGTTCTCCCCACGAGTCATATAACCCTCTAGCCTAGTTTTGACACCTTTCACATCTGGGTCTGACTCCAGGGGTGCGAAGAAGTTCTCACCCAAAACCTTCCTCGTCCAGACCACGTCGCCACGCCTTACCCAAGTTGTGTTTCATTTCAGAGAGCTCTTGCTGGTGCAGCCACTGAAGCTTCTCGATCTCGATCCTTAGCCTGCGAATCTGGAACGAGGGAGAGAGAGTCTTAAAAGGCTGTCAGCGTGCCATTCATCAGCAGGCTTAGAAGCTTGACCACCCACCAGCTTTCAGGGTAGTGAACGTCAGCGATTAATCAAGGAAGCAGACAGCCTGGCTCTAAGCCAATCCTGCCACGATGACAGTCCAAAGAGGTGGGCACCAATGGGTTATCCCATATTCACAAGATATACTGGTTCAGAAAACCAAGTACAAGCAGGCCTTCGTTACCAAGAAATACTGGCACAAGGAAAAGCCACTTAAAGTGAAGACAAAAACCAGACCTTCGTATAAATAATACATTAAAAGTTTAAGGGCTGGCTGGGTAGCTCAGTTGGTTAGAACAGGTGTTCACCAAGGTCAATGGTTCGGATCCCCATCACAGCCAGAAAAAAAAAAGCTTAATTAGAATTTTTGCCTGAAAAAATGAAAATAGCGGTATTTTATCTCTTACTTAACACCACTTAAGTAATCCATAACCATTCACCTGAAATTCCAAAGCCTAACATCTCTGAAAACCAAAGGATATTTTTGAGAGGAGTAAGTTTGAGGCAAACTCATCTGGAGGAGGAAAAGATAAACCTGACATGAAATGATGTAAGTCTATTTACGGTGTTTAATGAGCACAGTGGTTCTCAACTGGGGCAATTGTACCCACCCCGCCCCCACCTCCCTAACAACAATGTCTGGAGTTATTCCTGGTTGTCACAATTAGAGGTGCTACTGGCATCTAGTGGGTAGAGGCCAGGGACGCTGCTAAACATTCTACAACGCACAGGACAGTCCCCACAGAGAATTACCTGGAGCAAATGTCAGCAGTGCTAAGGTTGAGAAAACTTGATTTATCCCAGGTAGTGTGAACAACCACATTTCCCTGCAGAAATGTTGTGTCTAACTGTGGGAGAACCACACATTAACTCCCTAAAATCTGAAAAATTCTGGCACACATTTGCAGCCAAAGTTTCAGGTGAGACACTGTGGCCCCTTCAACCACACCACAGTTTTTAAGTGAACAAAAAAGAATCAAGCACGGTGGGGCACAGGGAAGCTTTTCTAAAGCAACAGTGTTCACTTCTTGTTTGGTGTCCTCACCATAATAATAAAAAGTCCAAGGGGACTCACTGATTTCTCTGAAGACCTCTCTTAAACCTTTACATTCACACTGTCCTCTGTTGAAGGGACTAGCAGGTCACCTTCCCAATGATTTTCACTTCTTCGTCTCAGTGCTGGCCTAACCCTGTCACATCCTCAGAGGGCAATGGTTTTGCATGAGACTTCCAGTCATCCAACATCACCTTCAGTGGCTTCAAGAAATCCTGCCCCATGTCATTCCAACTGGTGACCCATTTGCATCTGGCCTACACTGTACCATCCACACAACCAGCAAGCAGCCCACTCTCCAAGCCTCAGTAGTAAATTAGCCTAAGAGGGAAGTACAGGGAGGGATATTTTATAAGTGGTAACTTCGTAAGTGGATAACTAATAATGTTTTAACCACTTTCTTCTCTAGCCAATCACATAATTGTGGAGATTTCAATGTACAAATTCTTGGCCAAAAAGGATGTTTGTATTAAAAAGTTCAAACTTTATGGAGAGGATTAAGGAGTCAACTTTACATGAAGCAAAAAGAATTGATTTGCAGTTTTGCCAGTGGGTGAACTGAGGCTCTGGTTTTGGCTATTTCATTATAAGTGAATTTATCACACAAAGCAGGGCAGGTCTCCACAACCCCAGCTGTCTGGATAAAGAAAGAAATACACCCGCCAACCACCACAATCATCACAGCCAACTTGGCGACCAAAGCCAGGACCCAAAGAGGGATTTCCAGAGAGGCTTCATCACGGTGCCCCCTTTACAGCGGCCCATATAACACTGAGCAAATAAGGAATTCATGTGTCATCTCTGACCTCAGCTATTGTGCTTCCAGTAGTGGTTTTAGAAAGATCGTTGTATATTTCTGTCATCGTTCCTTTTATTGCATCCATCATCTGAAAGATAAAAACAGAAGCAATTCAGGTGATCACTTCTCTGAGGCTTTTCTGGGTGACATATATCTAAAATCTACTTGTATAAAGCAGTGGTTCTCAACTTGGGGTGACTTTATCCCTCAAAGGACACTGAGCATTTGGGGTTGTCATGACTGGGGCAGGAGTGGTGAGAAGGGGCTGCTCCTGGCATCAAGTAGGTGGAGACAGGGATGCTGCGAAATACCCTACAACACACAAGACAGCCCCCACCACAGAGAATTACCCACCGCCCAAAACATCACTGGTGATGAGAATGAGAAACTCTGGTGAGAAGGGGCTGCTCCTGGCATCAAGTAGGTGGAGACAGGGATGCTGCGAAATACCCTACAACACACAAGACAGCACCCACCACAGAGAATTACCCACCGCCCAAAACATCACTGGTGATGAGAATGAGAAACTCTGGTATAAACCCGGGCAGAAATCATCCACAAGATATCGTAGGAGGAGTTCACAACCATAAAGCTAGTTTCTATGCAGGCTGAAACTGGAGAAACTGAAACTAGAAGCCCCCAGGTGTGTTTTGTATGACCAGCATAGTACGTTCAAGGGAGGAATTTTGTTTTGTTACTGTTTTTAATTCTTTCCCTTTAAAAAAAAACAAAAAAAGCACAAAATCCACCATTTTATTGAGACATAACATATATTCCATATAACTCAACTCACCCACTTAAAGCATATAATCCAATGGCTTTTTAGCATATTCAAGAGTTATGTATCCAGTACTAAAACCAATTTCAGAATATTTTCATTATCCCTAAAAGAAAACCCTGCTCTCCCTTAGTCTTCACTCCCCAATATGACAACCATTGATCTGCTTTCTGCCTCTAGGGATTTGCCTGGTCTGGGTATCTCATGTAAGTGGAATCACACAATATGTGGTGGTCCTTTGCAACTGGCTTATCCAGGTTTATCTGTGCTGTAGCATTTTTCGATACTTCATTCATTTTTATGGCCCACTGTGTGGATAGAACTGCTTTGTAATTTCAATGCCTTCAGTCAGGGCACCGCCTGTCCAGTTCATTTCCTTCCTTGCACTAGCTGATCCCCGAAGGCATCAGCAACTTTGTGAAATCAGCTAAGGTCCCTGCAGCAGGCACCCAGATATTTGCTGATGGAATGTGTTTACAGGATGAATTTCTCTTCTATCTCCCACCTGTCAGCTGATCCCCTTCCTCTTATGGCAGAAGAAAGAGGAGGGGACAGGGGCCAAACTAGGTCTCAGGCCTGGTCTGACTGCTGCTGGGTCTCTCCTTTGTTTTCCCAATGCTCCAGTTCAGTGAGAAGGCAAAACAAAGAACACCCTCGTATCTGATCCCTGAGTTCTGTTGCCACCTTTACCTCTTATCATCCAAACCCTCTCTGAGCCTCAGTTTCCCCATGTAAAAAACAAGGATTGCAGCAGAATCCCCGTGTAGGTGTGCACAAGGATTAAATGAGAAAACCATGCAAAGACTGTGGTTCAGTTCTTGCGTGGAGTACGCGTTCATAGCGAAATACCTGTTCATTTCTTTTTTTAAAAGAAATTAATTCATATAATTTGCATATAATATAAGAATGCAATTGTATAATCACTGTCAACTCCAAAAACAGAAACCCCAAATTCACCCCCAAATGGGAGTAAAATGAATAAAATATTTGTTGAGATTTCTGCTCCCAGCGTGCTGTGGGGGCCACACCAGGCTGCCACCAGCAAAAACACTTTGTGCTTTATGCAGCTTTACAGTCAAGTCATTCTTTATGGGCCTCCTTATTCTCCTGCACCAACCATGTCAATTTAAAAAATTAAAACCGCTTTACAAGAAAACTTTAGAAAGTAGATGAAATTCAATACATTACTAATGCAATGGTTACATTCCATTTTAAAGATACCATGAATTTGTGGACTTTTACTTTTTTCTTACTTCCAAATACAGTGAAGGACTCAACATTAACAAAGAGCGTCCTTCCACCAAAACACTCAGAGCTGGGTCTTCAACTGCAGGTCACCTCAGAGACAAGAAAGTTCATCAGCTCCCAAAAAAGGTCACCATGTTCATTTTTATAACTGCAAAGAAAGCACCTATCAAAACGGTCGCTCCTCAATTTTACTTTAAGAGTCAAACGGGGGCTGCAGAAGATAATGGAGTTAAAATGGTTGCAGGAGCTGAGAAATCAGACTCAGTGTGAACCACTAGCCAGATCCACTCGATAGACCTCAGTTTTTCCATTTATAAATAAACAGCTTGAACCAAATCAGTGGAGAGTAATACAAGTAAAGGTAGAACAAGAGATCATTTAGGCAGTACCAAACACCTCCTTAGATCAGTAATGACAGAAATATCCTCTTTCAATTCTCTTGTAATCCTACAGATCACTTTAGCATAGAAGTCTCACTTTGGTGCTATTACGTCTTCAACACCTTCACAATCTCCCTCTTTAACAAAAGAAAAATGAACTTAGGTTTCAAGCCTTGACAGAAAACAGTATCTGGTGAGGTTAAACTTAATTTTATTTAGGCTTTTTAATTAAGTCAACTTAAATAAAATAAAGTTATATTAAGTCAACACTAGCACAGGTGTGAACAGATAAAGACAAAAATCGTAAGAGCACAAGTAACTGATACTCAGTCCTCCTATCCTGAAACTCAGGGACTTTATGACCACTCATGCATTTTCTTCAAAAGAGGAGCAGACACACTAAGTAAGAGACTAAGGTATCCCCAAGATATGGGTTCTGGTATCTCTTAGCCACACTGACACTTAAGTGGAATTGCTTTAAAAAGCCACATGGCAAGAGAAGTTGTAGAGGTAGATCGTCTGTGGTCAGCAGGCCTGTTCTGAGTTCACAAACTCAAAGCCAGGTACGGTGCACTCCCTCTAGGGAGTAGCTGCTACTACTCAAGATTCCAGCTCAGCCACTCTGGCCGTGTGACCCCAGACAAGTAGCAGAACCTCGCTGGGCTTCAATTTTGTCATCTATAAAACTGGGGTGGATACAGTATCTCCTTCATCAATGTGTCATGAAGATTGAGTAAGTAACATTAAAAAAGTGCTTAGAACAGTGTCTATCCCCCAGTGAATGCTATGCAGTCACTAGCTATTGCTACCTTGTCAAGTACAACTAGATAACCCAAGCCCGTCGTATTTGTGCCCTTGAATAATCGCCTCTCTCAAAGTGTGAGCTGGCCCAGCATCTTGTTTCTAACCAATGGAATAGAGCAAATGGAATGGGATGTCACTTCTGTGATTGGGCTGTGTAAGACTATGGCTCCCATCTTGCTAGCAGGCTGTCTCTAACTCTGGCTTTGATGAAGCATGCTGCCATGCTAGGGAGGCCCACACGGCAAGGAACTGAGAATGGCCTCTGGCCAACCGCCAGCGAGGAATCAAGGCCCTCAGCCCAACAGCCCTTGAGGAAGTGAATCCTGCCCACAAGCACCCATGTGAGCTTACAAGTGGATCCTTTCCCAATCAAGCCCTCTGAGACCCCAATAATAGCAGACACCTTGACCGCAGTCTGCAAGAAATCCTGATGCAAATGACCAGCTGAGCCGTGCTCAGACTCTTGACCCACAGAAACTGTAAAATAATAACGATGTGTGTTTTAAGTTGCTAAGTTTTGTGGGAATTTGTTATGCAGCAATAGATAACAATTACACCTAGATAGAATGAATAAAAAGAAAAACGACCAACAAACACTCATTGGTTAAATATATATATTTCCCCCACCATCCAGAACTAGAAAAGACTCTATCTTTAACTCAATATAATAAAGCAATTCTTTATCATAAGAATTTAAGAATTCTAGAAACAACTATTCACCCATTCTCACTATAAACTTGAATATAAACAGCTATTTTCACCCATTCTCACTATAAACTTGAATATATTATTCATTAATAACTAATCAGGAAAAGACTCTATCTTTAACTCAATATAATAAAGCAATTCTTTATCATAAGAATTTAAGAATTCTAGAAACTATTCACAGCTATTTTCACCCATTCTCACTATAAACTTGAATATATTATTCATTAATAACTAATCAGCAATTTACTCATTAATAAAGATTATCTGCAAAGTAATTCACTAAATACTTATAAGCTATTATTAAGTTTTCAACAGAAATAAGCCCAATGAAGGGCAAGATAGGCAACAACATGCATTCACTCGATGACTATGTATCAAGCACCTACTGTGTGCAAAGCACTGTCCCAGGCCTTGGCAGTGAGCAAAGCAGACAAAATCCCTGCCCTTGTAGAGCTGATATTCTAGTGGCAACTATCACTATCGAGTGGTCTGTTGATATGTGTCTGCACATCACTACAGAGCACTCTTATGATGCTGAGGAGAACTGAAGATTTTATTCACCTGAATTCAAAATGAGCATAAAAGCATTTGGTAAATTAAGAGGGAGAAAGAACCTGTGCTGAGAGAGCACTGATGAGTTAACATACGCAACCCTGCACACCATGCCACTCAACAAGGACTGTGCCCAGAGGTTGGGCAGGTTGGGGCAGGGGATCCACTACTCCCCCAACCTGTCCACCAGTCCATCTTGGTTTCTGGAAAAATCAAGGTGTGGGCTTCTCACCTAGTCAGCCTCATGTCACTTTTGTTCCATGTGGTTTCTAAACATAAACCAACCCCTTAGCTGTTTACTGAAGAAACAGTAATTTCCTCCAGTGCTTAAGGAAAATCTGTCCTTAAGGAGTAACTTCAATTCTAAATGGTAATTTTGATTATGTGTTGTTTACACTGACTTTAGAATCTAAGCCCTCTCGGAGTAAGGTTCAGTCCACTCTACATTTCTGTTAAGATCCAACTTTAGACCCGAATGAAAGAACCTGGTCTTGGAGATCCTGCTGTAAATAACAGGGTCTTTCCTCCTCAACACTCCCTGAAGCATGTGAGGTAGGTTATGACCTCAGTGGTCCCATCAGGAAGCTGGTGCCTGTGTGTTTCCACTCACTTTGCTAGTGTACTTGGCGATATCCGCGGCGACATCAGCTGAGGCAGTGGCGATGGGCAGGTCAGCATTGACTGAAGATGCCAGGGTGCTCGTGGACCCCGAACTGCTGACCAGGGGCGATGACTGTGTGCTGGTCACCAGAGTGATGGTGGACGTGGATGGGCTCTGTGTGATCTCCTTCTGCTGGACAGCTAAGAAAGCAAAGGATCCTGGTTACCCCAAACTCCGAGAAGGACCTGCCCAGCACAAAGCTGTGGTGAGGAAGTGAAGCCCCTAACACATGCCCTGCGGGCTTCTCCACTTGCAAGTGATTCTCTCCTCGACCAAACTCTAGCCAGGCTCCGCTGAGCCCTCTTCTCAACTAGGCCCCAACAGCCTGTAAAGACTTGAACAAACACCAATAGTTTCAAGGAGTCAAGGTCGTGTGCTACAATGACTCCAGCCCCCTGAGAAAGTACCTGCCTGAGAAAATTCCAAGCTGCCAACAAAATTTAGTTTGTTCCATCCAACACCTGGAGATAGGGCCCCTATCTCCCAGTCTCTATGGAAGAGTAGGAGCGGGAGCCTAACTTCCTTAAATACTTGTTAGCAAACCCAATTGGGTTTCACATAGACCAATCCTGCTTCCTGCTTCTTGTTTAACTTCCCTGACTCTACTGAGCCCCCCACTTACTCCATCCTTTTATTCTCCCTTTAAAATGCCCAGGCACCTCCATACAAATCAAAGTTGGTTTTAGTTCATACTAGACTTTTCCCTATTACAGTAGGATATTATCAATTAAAATCTGTCCTTACCACTTCAGCTAGGCTTTGACATAAGAGAATCTCAAAACTAAGAACTGCACTGTCAATGAGCCTCTTGCTGGCGGCACCTAGATTCCCCTGGGAAAGGCTCACAATGTATAAAATGGTGTATAAAAACAAGACTGGGAAGTGGTAATCTCAATCTCAAATATCCCAGACTCAGCTCTGCCTCACCAACTTTTTAAACAGCAAGCTCAATCCAACCATACTCCAATGTTGCCTATCCACATTTCCAGAATCTTCCCACCCCTAATGTTTCAAGGGTTTCACTGGGAGCTCCCAATCTTGCTACCTTTCAACCTCACATCCTATTGCACCTCAAGAGTCCTACTCACTACAATGCACTCACTATGAGAGTTTCAACCAAGGAGCCCAACCTTCAAGGATCCGGATACAGGTTTCCCTGTGAAACAAGACCTACATCAGTGCTCACAATACCTGGGGGCAAGATGGTACTGATCAGATTAGCACTTTGTTTGGCATTTTATCAGCTCCAGATGGTTGGTGGAGTTTACATTCTGCAACTTCAGCAAGTGATTCTTGGGGGGGGGCGGGGGCGGGGGGGGGCAGCTGACTGGTATGGGGAACCAAA